CCAGCAACCCACACTCCATATAGGAAGTAGATCAAGAAGCCTGCATTGACAAGTGAATAAATGAATGAATGCACACTATCACCACTAAGCAGACTCCCTTGCTGGAGGAGGACAGCTGTCAGAAAATGTATTTTTCTATATATGGAATTCAGGAGTATATTGCAAGATTATCCAGAGTATCCTACTTCCACAATATCCAATGGTCATGCCTCTACAGGAATGCCACCCACCACAAAGGTTATCATTAAGCAAACTTACCTCCTTATGATGGAGGGAGACCCTACTTGATGCAGAATGGATCAACATTAGGCAGTATGAATCAACATGAAGGTATGAATGCAGATAATGCATGCAATCAGGAATGAAATAAGTTCTTTGTGATAGGACTAAAAATGCAACCCAAGTTCAAGCTGCCACTGGGCACTGGAGAGATATTAAAAGAAAACCATCCATTACCAAGGACTAGAGGCTCTGATTAAAACCGGAAGGGGACTAGAAATTTGTTGTAACTTCATTTATGACAGCAGATCCTTTTGTTTTTCTACCCACTTATTTTGAACTTTCTTTTGAATTTCCTTGATGAATAAAAATACCATGAGCCATGTTTAGATGCAATCAAATGACTTCTTTGCCTAAATGGGAAAACTAGGAGGCCTGGTGGAGAAGGGGACAAGGCTAAGGTGACCAGATTTCTGTGTCTCGAAAGCAGGATGCCCAATAAATAGTTCCCTTGCCTCTTAATAAAGAATAAGAATGTATTTGTTGCATTGACAATTATATTTATTACTAGTGAGTTTGTTTGCCCTTTGGGCACTCGCTATGGTCATGCCTTTGGTGCTCCATTGTCTAGGATAGTGATTCATTCATTAATTTTTTTCGAAGTGGCAAAAATGTATTAAATGTATGTGCCTGTCTAAATGCTTGCCGAACCAATATTTTCATAAAATAATTACTCTGATTATTTATTGTGTGCCTAACTTCAAATCTCTTTATAATTTGCCATGAAGGAACATATTTGAAAAGTAGGATCTGCACTCTGCAAGCGAACAGGTACTTTTGAGCCAAGTTTCAACCTTCATCAGTTCTCTCTTTCATTGCATACAAAAAAGATTTGGGAAAATGCCATTCTTTTAAAAATGTGCCTGTAGGCATTTTACCAAAAAATTAATATTTTTACTGAAGTCAGTTTTTAGAGAACTATGTGCCTATCAAGTTCCAGCCTTATCTGTTTGCCTTTTCACAGGTGCAAAAATAACTTTTGAAAAGCCGACCTAGCCAAAACCCTGAGGGCATGCACCACAAAAGTTGAATTTTTATCTGTTTGCCTTTTCACAGGTGCAAAAATAACTTTTGAAAAGCCGACCTAGCCAAAACCCTGAGGGCATGCACCACAAAAGTTGAATTTTTCCTGAACTCAATATCATCTCAGTCATGCATGTGCTGAGTTTCACCTTTCTAACTCTGCCCAATTCGCTAGGACAAAAAAAAATCATTTTGAAAATGTCACCCCAAAAAAATATTCCCCCAGGGGAAGCATAAAAAACTTGACATTTTTCCTAAACTCCTTGCCTGAGTAGTCACATTCATGCAAAGTTTCAGCCTTCCATGTTAATCCATTTGACTGAAGCTAACAAATTATTTGAAAGCATCTTCACCTGAAGTTTGTACCCCCAGGGCATTTACTTCCCAAGTCTGAATTTTCTGAACTATGCATCCCAATAACTACTAGTGTATCAAGTTTCAGATTTCTAACTTCTCTAGAACTTGGTTAGAATTAGCATCAGTCTCTCACTCAGTCCCAATCGTCTATATATATTAGATTGTTGAAATACAAACTAGAACTGGTATTAAAACTGCAAGTTCAATGGGAGAACACAGGGACATGTGGTCTGAAAGTGGGACGTCCCGCTTAAATGGGGATGTCTGGTTACCTTAGACAAGGCAGGCACATCCTCTCAGCTATGCTGCTCATACACCTTCCACACATACGTGAACAATTGTGACCCTCTCCCATTCCATCACTTTCTGCCCGAGAGGACCAGAACACTGACTGTCTTTTTGAGACGTCTTAAAATTCCCTTATCCCTTGATAAGGAGTGAAGGACCCCCTTTATTGGATTAACGAATTAGTAAATCTACCCGAGTAACTTCTCACGAATCATTCAGCAAAAGTGTTATAAACAAAGAACACAACAAGATAGTTATCAATTAGGAGTCATATTAACTAGAGGTAAATGAATTTCAAGTATTCAAGGCAAATGAAAAATGTGTTAACTGTGTAAATCTATATCCAGAAGCTAGAATCATACAAGAGAAAGCATGAGTTTGTAGTAGGGATTTGTGGCACATGATTTGGAAAGATAGAGAGAGGAAGAAAACACAGAGAGAAAAGGGTAGAGATCTCAAGCTGCAAAATGAAAAAGCTATCAGATGAATCAAATAGGCAAAAACCATAACATACATTGTACTGCTTCTGTGGTAAAAAATGAAAAAATCTTGAAAAAACAAAACTTTCCATGGGAAAACTTTGGAATAGGGACAAGTTTTGCTTTTGTATCAGTGCCATTTGGGATCAGGGGTATCTAGAGGACTTCCTGTGAAGGCATGACCATTTGGCAGAGTACAGGCTGAGCCCATTTTAGAGAGCAAATATGCAGGGAATTTATGAATAAATTCACCATGGAGATTGTGAAAAATGAAGGAACTCACCAATGGCCATCCAGACCCCAAATCTTTCCCATGTCTTCACCGATAACTTCAGCATGAGATATGTGTTGATGAAAATGCTCAGAGCAGGCAGGAGTGGGATAAAGGGAACCTAAGATAACACCCAAAAAAAATTATTTGAGCACACTTGGCAAAAATAATAAAGGAAGCTGAATATGACAAGAGGTGAAATAACCTTGAACTTTAATCCTTTAGTCTGCTGTGGCTGCCTGAAAAGGATTATTAGATGAACGAGGATGAAGAAGCCAAAAATTCCCAAGAGAGTTAAGGCCCATGTTTCATGTTCAGTGAAAATTTCAGTCTCAGCCTGGACAAGCAAGGTGTTGAAGCCCACCAGTGTTGCCGCTGCAAGCAGAATATCTCATCACACATACAATAAGGCTCTCTTTTCCCTCAGACTAATGATATGATAATATAAAGTAGACCATTATGAGAGTGTTATGTCTTTGCAAAGAGAGGCACATCAATTAACATCCCTCTACATCAAGTCATATAAGGGCAGTGATGACTAGCACATAAGCAAAAAAATGTGAAACATTGCAGGAGACAACATGGGATGAAGGCAAAACACTGGCTGCTATACCTAGTTCT